CCTGCTTCTTCCGCGACCGTTCCACGCTCACGCCGCTTGCTGCACCTGCTGTTGTCTCTCTCGCTGACCCCTCTGCGGGTCCGGTCGTCGCGCGCAGTTCTACGTCCCTTCCCTGTCCGGCAGTTCCCTCGGGCTCCCTTACTGGCCTCCACGTTCCCTCGTTCTCCAGGAACCTGGTTGGTGTCGGCTGTCTCCAGGACCTCGGCGTCACCACCACGTTCCCCGGGCACGAGCGGTTCGCTGTCTGTTCTGAGGCTGTCTCAGGTTCCCCCCTTGCGACGTTCCCCCGGGACCCGGTGTCCGGTCTGTTTACCCTACACACCGCTTCCCCCCCGGTTGGTGCGTCCTCCCAGGTCGCTGCAGCTTGCTCGTGTCGGTCCCTCACTCACCCCTCCCTTCTCTGGCACCACCGCTTAGGTCACCCTGCTCTCCCGCGTCTGCGTCACATGTCCCAGCACGGTCTTGTCTTAGGTCTCCCCGCGTCGCTCCCTGCCCTTCCTCCCTCGACTGCGCCACCGTGCACGCCTTGCGTCGAGGGTCGGCTCCGCCGTGCTCCTCACTCCTCCTCGCTGCGTCCTGCTACTGCCCCCCTTCAGACCCTGCACTTGGACGTTTGGGGCCCTGCCCCCGTCCCCGGACCGCGCGGTGAGCGCTACTTCCTTGTGCTTGTCGACGACTACACGCGCTACACCACGGTGTTTCCCCTGGAGCGGAAGGCCGACGTGCCCGACGTTCTTCTCCCGTGGGTTGTGGCTGCGCGTCTCCACCGCGGTCTCCCCGTGTTGTGTCTCCACTCCGACCGTGGCGGCGAGTTCGCCTCTGGTCGGCTTGGACAGTTCTGTCGTGCGGAGGGCATCACCCAGTCGTACACGTTGCCGGACTCGCCACAGCAGAATGGGGTTGCTGAGCGCCGCATCGGCTTGGTCATGGAGGTCGCCCGTACCTCCATGATCCATGGCGATGCCCCCCATTTTCTGTGGCCGTTCGCTGTTCGCTACGCGGCTCACCAGCTTAACCTGTGGCCACGCTCCCAGCGGCCGCAGGTTTCGCCGACCCTCCTTTGGACCGGGTCCCCCGGTGACGCGTCTGCGTTCCACGTCTGGGGCTGCCTTGCTCACGTTCGTGCCTCTGGCACGGACAAGCTCACTGCCCGCACTGTCCCCTGTGTCTTCCTCGGTTTCCCCCTGGACTCGTCTGACTGGCTTTTCTACCACCCGCCGTCTCACCGCTTCCTTCACTCTCGTGACGTCACCTTTGATGAGTCCGTCTCCTTCTACCGCCGCTTCCCTCACCGAGGTCTCCCAGTTGCCCCCCCCCTTTTCCTTGCTCCCTCTCCCCCGGTAGCCCCTGCCCCTCTCCCGCCTCGTCCTGCCCCGTCTGGTGTCTCCCACGTCACTCCCCTCCCGTCGGTTGTCCCCGTTGAGGAGTCTGCTGACTCTGGTGGTACCCCCGGTCCGTCCTTGCCGTGTCCCCCTTCCCCGGTGCCTCCGCCCCCACTGTCGCAGTCGCCGACCCCGCTGCCGCCGCCGTCGTCGTCGCCGCCGCAGCCGTCGCCGCTGTCGTCGCCGCCGCCGCCGCTGTCGCTGCCGCAGCCGTCGCCGCTGTCGCCGCCGCCGCAGCCGTTGCCGCCACTGCCGCCGCTGCTCTCGGCCCCTGGGGGTGCTGGTGTGGAGGAGGGTGTTCGTCCTGCGGCTTCTGGGGGTGCCGCTGGTGTTGGAGGGGGTTCTCGCTCTGGGGGTGTTGGTTCTGGGGGTGCTGCTGTTGAGTGTTCTGCCGACGGTCGTTCTGCCTCTGCTGGTCCGAGAGTTCCGGCCCAGCCGTCGTCGCCGCCGCAGCAGCCGTCGCCGCCGGTTTCCGCTCTCCGCCTGCTCGGCCTTCCCTCCCCGGACCGCGCGCCGGTGTCTCCCCCACCGCCTCCTGACCTCCCTGTCTACGGTCCTGTGTTCCCGCCGCCAGACTCGTCTCCGGCCCGTCTTCCTCCTCGTTCCCCTCCTGTGTCTCCTCCGCTGTCCCCTGACCCTACCCCTCCGTCTCACGTTTGGGCTCGCCGTCCCTCCCGTGCTCGTCCCGTCTCTCCTGTCCTGCCCACCCACCCTATGTTGCTCCGTTCCCACTCGTCTCGTCCTCCCCTCCTCCCGTCCCCTCCTCCCTCGTCCCTTGCTGTTGCACCTCCTCCGTTCTCTGACTACCTCCGTGCTGCTCGTCCCCTTGTCCCTCGGGTCCTTGCCTCTCTTGTTACCGACCCTGCTGTTCCTGTCTCGCGCCTTGACGCGCTTGTCGCTGCTGTCGCTGACTTCGCTTCTACCCGCCGCCTTGACTACGCTACCGCTCTGGTCTCTGACCCTGCCCGTCCTCTGTCCGTCGGGGGTGCTCCTGCCCTTGGCAGTGACGTCCTAGAGGACAGGCAGTACGAGCTGGCTTTCCTTTCCGAGGCTGCTCCCCATCTCTGCTCCATGCTGTTAGTCCCTGAGGGTGACCCAGACGCCTTCGACATCCCGACCCCTCGCACCTATGCTGAGGCCACCTCGGGACCTTGGGCCTCTCAGTGGATAGCTGCCATGGAGCAGGAGATGGCATCTTGGAGATCCACCGGCACTTACGTCGACGCAGTTCCCCGCCTGGGGTGAACGTAGTCGATGGTCGGTGGCTCTTCAAGGTGAAGCGCCCCCCTGGAGAGCCGCCTGTCTTCAAGGCGCGCTACGTGGCCAGAGGTTTCAGTCAGCGCGAGGGGGTTGACTTCCTTCAGACCTTCGCCCCGACCCCGAAGATGACCACTCTTCGGGCGCTGCTACACGTAGCAGCACAGCGTGACTACGAGCTTCACTCCCTCGACTTCTCTACTGCCTTTCTTCAGGGCAGCCTACACGAGCAGGTCTACCTGCGCCGACCACAGGGCTTCACTGGTACCTTCCCTCCTGGGACCCAGTGGCTTCTCAGGCGCCCGGTCTACGGCCTGCGTCAGGCTCCCCGCGAGTGGCACGACACGCTACGTGCCACGTTAGCAGACCTGCAGTTCTTTCCGTCCTCTGCTGACCCTTCACTGTTTGTGCGTTCCAGCCAGACTCCGTTCTACATCCTTGTCTACGTAGACGACCTGGTCTTCGCTACTCCTGACAGGGACGCACTGGCCTCTGTGAAGGCTGAGCTGCTGAAGAGACACACCTGCACTGACCTTGGAGAGCTGCGTCGCTATCTTGGCCTGCAGATCTCTAGGGACAGAGCAGCACGCACCATCACTCTGACCCAGTCACACTTGGTGCGTCAGGTCCTTCAGAGGTTCGGTCTTCAGTTCTCCTCCGCACAGCCCACACCTCTACCCGTAGACCATGGGCTCTCCACTCCCGTTCCTGAGGAGCCAGTAGAGCCCAGTGGCCCCTACGTAGAGCTGGTGGGTTGCCTCATGTACCTGATGACTTGCACTCGCCCAGATCTCGCATACCCTCTCAGCATCCTGGCTCGCTTTGTGGCTACAGGCAGACACCGACCTCAGCACTGGTCTGCCGCTAAGAGGGTTTTGCGTTATCTTGCTAGTACATCAGGCATGGGGTTAGTGCTAGGAGGACGCAGGCCAGTGGTCCTTACTGGGCACACAGACGCTTCTTGGGCAGACGACGCTGAGACGCTCAGGTCGTCGCAGGGCTACTGTTTCAGCCTTGGTTCGGGTGCTATCTCTTGGAGATCCACTCGCTCGTCGTCTGTGGCTCAGTCTAGCTGTGAGGCTGAGATCTACGCTGGTGCCATGGCGGCACAGGAGCTCCGCTGGCTGACCTTCTTGCTCACAGACTTAGGTGAGCGGCCTAGCTCTGCCCCGGTCCTGTACGCTGACAACAGGGCCATGATACTCCTGTGTCAGGAGCCTCGGCTTGAGGGCAGAGCGAAGCATATCCAGCTGCGGTACTTCCTCCTGCGCGAGCTACAGCAGCGCCGCCAGGCCCGCGTAGTTCACTTGGCCTCAGGTGCCAACACAGCTGATATCTTTACTAAGGCGCTTGCGCCTAAAGATCATCAGCGGCACTGTGTACAGCTTGGTCTTGTTCCTATAGCTGCTCCCCTGTTAGGATCCTGATTGTGTACTCTCTATTATATATGCTTGTCAGACTGGCCTTGTGGCCTTACCTCCAGTGGCTGGACTAGTAGTGCCACCCTGGCTTGCTTCAGTTTTGGTTGTATTCTTGCTGACTGGTCTCCAGACCCCTGCCTCAGTGGTTGGACTAGTAGTGCCACCCTGAGCTGTTTGCTTCTTGTTTAGTTTCACCCCTTGTCTAGCCTAGGGCGTGTGTCAACTTATACATATTATCTATGTAGAAGTTATAGGCTAGACTGAGGTATGCTTCTAGTGAGTACAACCAACTAGTATTTGTTCTAGGTTTCCACCTCTAGTAATCATTCGTTTCTACGTTAACAACGTGAACAGTACATCCACCAAATGTATCCAGTATCACTTCCAAAAAAACTCGGCAATGTTGTTGAGGACCATTCAATTTCCAAACGAAGGAACATGATGCAATTTGATTTCAAATCACCAGCCGATAGAGAACCAAATGCAAAGTTGAGAATTGTAATGCATTACCATATTTCCCATTTCTTTGAGAATTTCGTCTAAAGCACAGTGCGAGAGTACTTACTGTGATGAAACCTGACTAATGCGGGACTTCAGCCAGATATCGGTCGAGGCGCCTTGGCGCATCTGAAGATGCCATTTCCCCAGATTCCCTTCGAAACCAAACCACGCGGTGGCAACACTGCCACTCAACAGTGCACCAGCATTTGCGTTGCGGCGCCTGCCAGGCAAAACCAGTTGTTTGTCACGTCGTTAGCAAATGACGAGAGGTGCTGCTGCACACACTGAGCTCCTCCACATGCGGCGTAGAGGACAAAGCGCACATTGCATGCACCCACGCACTATGAAGCGCCAGCTGGAACGACCCGTGTGACGACATATAGTGGCCAAACGTGCGATGCGACAGATGAATGCGACAGAGGAAACATTGCGACGACAGACCACTCGCTCATGTTTATGCTCTCCCCTATGCCAGCCTTGTTTTGGAAGCCGTGGACCTGGCTCAGGGATCGGCGACATCAGCAACTGCAGCACGCTGTACTTGTCCTCTTCATCGCAGCCCAAAGACATCCTTGCGAAGCCGTCACTCACGATCAATGGCAACGGGGAGACTATAGTTTGAAGGCAGGTAATTGTGTATAGAAGGCTGACAAGACCCTAGAATGACTTTTCCTTCCAAACATCACATTCAACGACAGCTGCTAACCCAGATATCCACCAACGACAGCTGCTACTAGCATCACATTACTCTGCACCTACTTATCCGCAGCAATGGCATTCACCATGGTAATGGACTTGCTCTTCCAGGCAGTCGGGGTGGCTGAGAACCCATACCCGCCCTTAGCGAACGAGCCGATCATGTACTGCATGAACGCCTTGGCGATCTTCCCGCCGGTCACACCCGTCAGCGACTTGCGGATGAACGCGTACTCCATCGACACCATGGGCGGGGTCTTAGCTCCGGCCTTCCAGATGAAATCCACAGCCGCCCACGACCCGTCAGCCGCGGGCGGGGAGCCGGTAAGAGCAGAGCCGGGGGACCAAGAAGGAGGTGCGACGGCCACGCCGTTAGCGTTCTTCAAAGAAGCAATCACGCGGTTCTTAAGGTTGGGATTCCTCTTGTTGTATCGCAAAGTTCCCCCCTTTTTTTTTGTGTGCTCGCGGGTTGTTGAGGCCACTTGTCAGGCAGCCAACCCCTCAGTTTCAATCGGAAAATTTCCACCCTGCAATTTGACGGCGATTCGCCTGCGCAATTTCGCAGGTGCATTACAGGCCGATTTCGGATAGTTTTCAACCCGTTATATCACAAAATGCATTATTGGACTTCAAATTCACTATTTTAGTCCTATGTGTATATACAAATTTATACAAAACTTGGTTGTGCTGTACTGTTAAACAATATACTTATTGTGCAAAAACACGTCTGGCTCATTCTTGTCAAACATCCTCACGATCTGGACGTGACGCAATATTGACGAAATCGGAACCACGCTATATGAAAGCTCTGGTGCTGGCCAGCTCAGCCTCACACACCCTGTGGCTGCATCCACGCCACGCGTCCTGTAGTACCGCACGTACGCAAGGTCATGCCGTACGCAGCGTCTCTTGCAGTGGAACAGGAGCAACACCTTGGCGTACTCCACCACATTACCAACGCACGATACTGCCACATTTGAGAACCATGGTCGCTTGTAGCAGTCAGGTGTAGCCCGGACAAAGTGGGCGAGCTTGGAGGAGTTAACTCCACCATCTGCAGGAAGTGCCATTGTCGGATGGGCCTGCGCAAGACGATGGATGAGTAAGGATAGGGTGGTCTAGGGTGTACATGACAACACATTTGGTGTTCATGACTCACCTGCACCTTCGTGGCGCTCACTCCATAGTCAATTAGCGCCATGTTGAAGTAGATGTGCGCCTCAGGTTGCTGCTTAGCCCACCCTGTGTTGAACTTGTTCATTTTTGTTGGCTCGGATGGAGGCGCGACAAGGACAGGATAGGAGTCCTTCGTGAGGACAGGCACTCCCTTGGTAATGGCCTGCATGTATAGCATATAGTTGTCAATAAAATAGTGAAACAACAGGGGGGAAACTTGGCACATGCGCTCATAAGAGTCATTTACCTGCTGCATTGCAGTGTTGCGTGCGTGTTCGGGCGTGTCAAGCGTGAGGTAGGCTGCCCTCTTCTCATGATGCTTCATTATCTGAGTCTCAACATTGCGCTTGTTGGATCGTCGGTAGATCCGTTTGAGCAACGGGCCATGCAGATGCTCAAACATGGCGGTTGCGAACTCTGATACATTACCTGCTCTCCTGATAGCTGCCGCATAGTGAGTCATCAGGTGCGTTTTGATTAAACACCAATCTGACTTTTGCTCTGGAAAAGCATCCTGCAGCTGCTTGACCAGCCTGTTGGGGTGGGTTTGTGTGGCATTTGTTTTTTTTTGCAAAATACCTAGAGCGTGTATATAGAATTCTCACATGTGTAAATCTTGATAGCCACAAGTATTTATAAGATAATCAAGCTTTATGTTCAAGCATTTGTTCATTGCAGTTAAAATTACCTATGCGTCAACTCCTCTAGAGTCGACAGGCTCCTCTCGGTGTGGCATGGCTGAGCGCAGAAGATGTACCACTCAAGGTACGCGCGGATCGCGCTCAGCCGCTTCTCCTCCAACGTGTCTGCCACGATGAAAAGTAGCACCTAGTTAGGTGGGGTTGGGTTAGTATAGGTGCAGTTTTCTAGAAGGTACCTAAAGCACATATCTCTGAAGCATTCAATAGCTGTATTGACAAAACACGTACCATCAAGACAGCGCGGTGCTCGTGGGCGGCGACACATGCGCCAGACTCGAAATAGGCAGTCTCAGGGAAACGTAGGTTCGTCATTCGAGTCTCCTCACGGATCTGTGTGAGCCTCCTGCAGAAGGGAAGGGGTGTGTGGGTGGAGGGACAGCAAAATGGCAGAACCAGAGGTGAAAATAGGAAGGGGAGAATGGAGCAAGGGAGGGATCAATAGACGAGCACAGGGGGAGGGGGAATGCAGCAAAGGGAGGGGGAAACAGAGGTGCGAAATGGAAGTGGGTAGCAGCAAGCAAGGGGAGCCAGCCATTCGAGCTGTCGGGGGTAGCTGAGCAAGGGAGGGGAAACAGAGGTGCACAAGGGAAGGGGGTTGTGTAGCAAGGGAATGGTGTAGGTGAGGTGTGCAAGGGAAGCAGACAGGAGCAAGGGAGGAGAGCCAGAGGGGCAGGCTGGAAGGGAGAGGTGTGGAGCACAGGTGCAGTCTAGGGGAGGCCGATGCAGCAAGGTGAAGAGACGGAGTGATGCAGCAAGGTGAAGAGACGGAGTGATGCAGCAAGGTGAAGAGACGGAATGATGCAGCAAGGTGAAGAGACGGAGTGATGCAGGAAGGTGAAGAGACGGAGTGATGCAGCAAGGCGAAGAGACGGAGTGATGCAGCAAGGCGAAGAGACAGAGTGATGCAGCAAGGCGAAGAGATGGAGTGATGCAGCAAGGGGAAGAGACGGAGTGATGCAGCAAGGCGAAGAGATGGAGTGATGCAACAAGGCGAAGGGACGGAGTGATGCAGCAAGGGGAAGGGACGGAGTGATGCAGCAAGGTGAAGAGACGGAGTGATGCAGCAAGGTGAAGAGACGGAGTGATGCAGCAAGGTGAAGAGACGGAGTGATGCAGCGAGTGATGCAGCAAGGGGAAGAGACGGGGTGATGCAGCAAGGTGAAGGGACGGAGTGATGCAGGAAGGTGAAGAGACGGAGTGATGCAGCAAGGTGAAGAGACGGAGTGATGCAGCAAGGTGAAGGGACGGAGTGATGCAGCAAGGCGAAGGGACGGAGTGATGCAGCAAGGGGAAGGGACGGAGTGATGCAGCAAGGTGAAGAGACGGAGTGATGCAGCAAGGTGAAGAGACGGAGTGATGCAGCAAGGTGAAGGGACGGAGTGATGCAGCAAGGCGAAGAGATGGATTGATGCAGCAAGGCGAAGGGACGGAGTGATGCAGCAAGGGGAAGAGACGGAGTGATGCAGCAAGGCGAAGAGACGGAGTGATGCAGCAAGGCGAAGAGATGGAGTGATGCAGCAAGGCGAAGGGACGGAGTGATGCAGCAAGGGGAAGGGATGGAGTGATGCAGCAAGGTGAAAAGACGGAGTGATGCAGCAAGGTGAAGAGACGGAGTGATGCAGCAAGGTGAAGAGACGGAGTGATGCAGCAAGGTGAAGGGACGGAGTGATGCAGCAAGGCGAAGAGATGGAGTGATGCAGCAAGGCGAAGGGACGGAGTGATGCAGCAAGGGGAAGGGATGGAGTGATGCAGCAAGGTGAAAGGACGGAGTGATGCAGCAAGGTGAAGGGATGGAGTGATGCAGCAAGGTGAAGAGACGGAGTGATGCAGCAAGGTGAAGAGACGGAGTGATGCAGCAAGGTGAAGGGACAGAGTGATGCAGCAGGGTTTAGGGACGGAGTGATGCAGCAAGGTGAAAGGACGGAGTGATGCAGCAAGGTGAAGAGACGGAGTGATGCAGCAAGGTGAAGAGACGGAGTGATGCAGCAAGGTGAAGAGACGGAACAGAGGATGGATGGTGCATGGGCAAGGGAGGGATGGACGCGGACGGGGTTGGGATGGATGGAGGATGGGCAAAGGAGGGATGGATGCGGAAAGGCAAAAGGCATTCACAGTAGTGGTGGAGCAAGTGGCATGGTACGAGATATGAGTGTGACCCTTACTCGTCAAAGGTGGCGAGACTGCCTTTGTGGGAGGAGCGGATTGCGGAAATCATGTGGTGCAAGATCCCGAGGTCCGCCTGGTGCATTATGTCCGGCATGATGGCCAGGTAAGGGTTCGCCCAGGGCGCACCAGGCACATCCCACAGCCAGAGGGCGCACTGCATCAAAGTAGGGTAGCCGACAGGGTTCAACATACCAGATCAAAGTTTAATTAGGGAGGGTAACGGCTGTGGGGGCCAGAAAGGCGTTGCCGGGGGGCTTGGTGTCTAGCTCGGATAGGGTGATTGCAACCGGATGGGGACAGAAAGGTACCACAGCAAGCATCACGGAGATTAGGGGGGTGAAGAGGCACTAACCTCCATGCCGAACGTGGAGAACTGAACTCCAGCAGCTTTCTTGGTGCCCAGCTTGTTCGCCCAATTGTCAACAATCCACTGCTGTCGGGCCGGGGTCCGAGGAGTGTTCTCGGCCGTCACGCAGTCAAGGTGTTCCTGAGGCATGGTAGAGGTAACCGGGTAAGACGTAAGCGGGTAAGAGGTAACCAAGTTAGAGGTAACTGGGTTAGACGTACCCGGGTTATAGGTAACAGAGTAGGAGGTAACCGCGTCATAGGTAGCAGGGTGGGTGGTGACTGGGTAAGCGGTAACAAGGTTTGAGGTAGCAGGGAGAGAGATAAAAGGGTAAGAAGTAATAGGGTGAAGCGGTGCACACACCTTCTCGGCATAGCAGATGCTGCACGGTCGACTTGTGCCGCCGGAGAGGGTGCACGTGACTTTCCCGCTCTCTGGGTAGTCGCAGACCCACGCGTAGAGCATTGGCTTGACAAGGTGCTCCACGCCGTTCGGGTCTTTTAGCAAGAATCCGCTGGGGTGGCAAGTCAATTGGAGGAGGGGCAGTGCAGAAACAGTGAGCTCAGCTAGAAGGTGCATGCACAAAACTAGGGGAAAGATGTGAGAGACGTTCAATCGAGAGATCCGAGGGTGGTGGGGGGGTGGGGGGCGCGGTGGGGGGGAGAAGGATTGCGTTAGGCAGCAGGATGGTCACAGCCACGCACTTCTTGCTAACGCTCTTACCACTCACGACCCTCCAAAATCGTATGCAGCATGGTGAGAGCCCCCTGCTGAAAGAGTTGAGTTTTCTGCGCCGAAGGCATCCCCTTGGGTGGGATTGGGAGATTGCCCAGCAGGCAGTGCCCCGACGTCGCCCAGCGCCCGCCCTGACGGATGTTGGCGATGGTCATCATCACGGGCCACGCCTTCTTGCGCCCATTCTCACTGAGATGGGTGACGTC